TGAGGCCTGCACTTACTTCTTATCGCAAGTGCCGGGCCCACGTTTGGTCTACGGGCCGGTGTCCTCTAAAAGGGCAGACGACAAACAGAAACGTTTGAAAGAGCAGACGACAGTTCGAACGATCAGGCGACCGTTTAAACTTGAAGACGCACTGAACGCAGTTCGCAGGTGGTCCGTACAACTTGACGGTTTTCCGGCATTCATTTTGGAACAAAACAAATAAATCTGATGGCCAGAAGTATCCGTGAATTCAACCCAAAATGCTTCCCGCCCAAGCAACTGACCTTCAAACCTTTCTCGACCCTTTTGGTACAGCCCCAGTCGCAGCATTTTGACAAGAAGGCAGGTTTTTGTCTGGTTGCTTTCAAAACAACGCAGGAATACACGTCTCAGATGGGCACTTCCGCCCACAGCCCCGGACTGGAAGTGCGTCCGACGCGCCACAACCGCGCCGTGACGTAACAGAAATGAGTTTGTGTATACACGAACTCAACTCTGCGACGTCACGGCGCGGTGGTGGCGCGTCAGGCAAACGTCCGGTCTGGGGCCGTGGGCAGAAGTCCCCATGCCAGACGTGCATTCCTGCATTATTTTGAAAGAAACTAGACACAAACATGCCTTCTCGTCAAAACGCCGTGACTGGGACTGTACCAAAAGTGTTGAGAAAGGTTTGAAGGTCAGTTTTCACGTGCTCGGTTCGCCCGAGAATCTGGATATGTGCTGTGAAAAGGGAAAAGCAGACGCCGTCGGACAACGATTGCTTGGGCGGTAGGCACTTTGGGTTGAATTTGCGGATGCTTGTGGTCATCAGATTTATTTGCTTTGTTCCAACATGAACGCCAGAAAACCGTCAAGTTGTGCGGACCATGTTCAGTGCGTCTTCAAGTTCAAACGGCTGCCTGATCGTTCGAACTGTCGTCTGCTCTTTCAAACGTTTCAAGCGTCGGTGTGAGTTCCCCTGCCCTTTTTCGCGTTCGAATTGTTGCCCTGGCAATCTCCGACCACTTGAGCGGAATCAGCGAAATTAGCGAGGCTCGTTACACCGCAAAACTTCGCGTAGTGGTGGTCCGCACAACTTGACGGTTCTCCGGCGTTATGTTGGAACAAAACAAATAAAGCTGAGGACTACAAGTATCCGTGATTTCAACCCAAAGCGCTTCCCGTTCAAGCAATCATGGTCCGACGGCGTCTGGTTTTCCCTTTTCACGACACATATCCATGTTCTCGGACAAACCGAGCACGTGAAAACTGACCTTCAAACCCCTCTCGACTTTTTTGGTACATCCTCAGTTGCGTCATTTTGACTAGAAGGCAGGCTTTGTGTGGTTCCTTTCAATGCAGGAATACACGTCTCGCATGGGGTCTTCTGCCCACAGCCCATACCGGAAGTGCGCCCGACGCGCCACCACCACGCCGAGACATAACAGAGTTGTGTTTGTGTACATATAGGCTGGTTTCACATGATATACCTTCTGCTCAAACCCACGGTAGAATTCTTAGTTTGTGGGCCTTAGCCCTTTGCTTTCCTGCGGGCGGAAACAATGTTTTCCAACTTGCGCAATTTTTTTTTTTTTTTTTTTTGCGTTGTGATTGGCTGCGCCAGTCAAAGAAGTCGGCAATGCAAAGGAGCGTCGGCTGGTACTCAATTTTCATACATATTGATATTTATTCGGCGCTTAGAGGATCTGTTACTTGAGGAATTGGCTCACTAGTGGCCAAAATGGCCCCAGTCGGTGCTGCGGGGCCACCTTGATGGACAGAAAAGCGTAGTGAACAAAGGTATGTGAGGCCTAAGAGCGTCTTCGATGGTGCTTCTTGAGCTCTGCCGTCAGTAGAGATGCTGATTAGGTTTTGTGGGATTCACCAACACCGCAAAACTTCGCTCATAAACAAGCGCCTCCACGTAACGAATAGGGCAAATGGTAGATGCAGCCCGCGGCCCCCCCCCCCCCCCCCCCCCCTGCACTCCGAAGTGCAATCGAAGGAAGTGAAATTTTGTTTTTTGACACCACCTTATATCAAACAATGCGAGACGCTGTTGATGATTCACTTTTTGGTTGCGGGCCAAGGACCTGCACGTTCAGTATTAGTAAACATGTTTCGTTACTCATAACAATGTTATCTCCATGCTCATGCATAAGATATGGCTAATTTGTACCAATGAAAACAAAAATACGTACTTGGCTAAGGCACGCTGTTCTGGCTTGGTTCTGACCAACAGGTTCTTCTTGAGCCACTGGTGCATCCAGCGATGACTCATATGTTGGTGCTTTGGAGTCGTCATCCCATGTAGTGACCACTGGCAAGCTACTGCTCTTCGACACTGTGCTGCTGCTGCTGCTACAGTGGTCACCGCTCTGTGAAACCAATCGGTCAATATTTATTGTCTTTGATTTGTTCATAACACACCCTATAGCCTAGTTTAAGTGTAAGGGCCGCGCGAAAGTTATAAAATAATGAATGAATAAACATTATCGTAGGGATGGGTTCCAGCACCCCCAGGTGAAGCCCAAAGTCCGGGGCCTCAAAAATGGCGGCCACCAATTTGGCACGGTCCACCTGCTATTGCTGGCCAGTGGCCGCATCATCGGTCTGCCGCTCCTCCCAGGAGGTGGGGGAGGGGTTGGGAAGAGGCGAGACAGAGGGAATGTCCTGGCATTACCAGACCATGTGGAGAAGTGTGGGAAAAGAGTTGATGTCATAGAACGCCCTGTCTGCGAGTAAGAGAAGGCTGAGGAGAATAATGTTGTTCAGTTGGTCGGATGGTGGCAACCCCATATCTTCCCCATATTCCCGGTGTGAGAGTTCTCGGGCGAGTACACAAGCACACTCATTACCAGGGACAGCTGTGTGTTCAGGGACGGCTGCGTGCCCAAACACACAGCCCAGGCACCCGCACCCAGACTAACGGGAAAGTGTGGGAGGTGGAGTATAGGAAGGAGTCGAGTAGGGACACAGTGGATAGATGCAAGGTGGTGAGAAGGAAGTGCCGGCAGGCCGTCTGGGAGTCAGCCAGAATGTTAGTGGGGAGGAAGAATTGCCCTGTGCTAAAATGACGATGTGCAACAAGTGTCAACATAAATACCAATTGGATGCCTATATTAGAATATCTTGGTCGCCAAACAAACGAACAGTTTTCTAGTCTAACTTGCAATAATGATCGGATATATTGTTCAGATTACTGGTTTTGAAAACAACTTGTTTGCTCATGTACTTTCTACTGATAACAGCATAGATAATTGAAATATATTAATATTATAGTACATAACGGCGGTGTTCAGAGTTACGGTTCCCAATTTCAGGTTCGGTTCAGTCCTGGGTAAAGTTCGTACAGCCGTTTGAGCGTTTGCAAGAGCACGCCAGCCCGCGCGCGGACACGCGCACTCACTTCTACTGATATATAGCACAAAACGTTAGCGTGCGTTCACGTGCGACGTGCTCGTGAATGTCGCCTCAACAGGCTTGCAATCGCACGTGCTCGCCCGCACGAACAGAGACAAAAGCATCGGCCAGCGCGACGTGAGCGAGGAATATACGTACCCCGGTCCGACGACGCTTCACGCATGATTCGTCTGCTGTTTGGGGAGGCGAGGATCGAGGAACGAGGTACGACGACACGGCGTCCGGCGTCAGTCCGTCGGCTGTTACGGAAGGCGAGGATCCAGGATCGAGGATCGACGGCACGGCGTTTTGATCCAGACGCGCGTACTTGGTTGAAAACCCAGCGTCGCAGAACAAGCGCAGATCTCGCTGGTAGCATTCGGGCAAAAAGTGGTCAGAACAGATCAATGTCCTGCTATTTGGCGACCACGGCTTCTCGGAGTTCCAACGGCGCACGATGTCTGTCCAAACAATGAGACGCGCACTGTCGCGAGGGAACTTGTGAAAAACAACTCCCGGGCTGGTCGACTGATAGTTCAAGCAGGCAGCAACACAACATCGTGAGCCTATGGCCCTTCTGCGAGGCATCGCAGCTAGGCTTCGGGGATGCTGCCCGCGCTCGAACCGTAACAAAACCACAAAACGCCGTCCTCCTACTGCTCCTACTGCAGCAGAGGCGAAACGAGGAAACGAGTGCGTCTGCTCCCAACTTGGCGCATGCGTTTTACGGTGATCATGTGGACAGAGCCAACACGCAACGCCGGGAGGAGCCACTTCCACTCACGACGTCTTCGTTCAATTTCGCCCGGAGAAGTAAAAACAACCAAAACATAGAACTGACATACGCATGCCTCTGACGTAGGTGCTCACTGTTGGCTGCGCCAGATCCGTGGTATTGACAGCGCTGTTGATTGCTCTTCACGTCGCGCGCTAGAGTTAGCAGATTTCGGCGACTTGGCTCGTTTGAAAGTTTGCTGGCCAGATTAATAAATATTTAGACGGAATTACATCGCGAAACTTGGCATGTGGTCTTCCTATATGATGCTGAAGAGGGCTACATAGTTTTCTCAATATCAAAAATGAAGCGGAGTTGCCCTTTAAATTTCACGAATCGCCCATATTGAGATCCCACCATGTCGCAAAAATGAAAACCCACAAATTATTCAAAAAATTCAGCTTTGACCTAAATCGTAAAATATTGAGCCTGTAAAAAATAAGTCGTTCAGAGTGATAGATTTTAGTTTATTTTGAGAACAAAGAAAACGAAAATTGGAATATTTCACAGAAATTTAAAGCAAGAGTGACAACGAAAGTCTTACTGCCACCGACATCACAATGGCCGCACTTCCTCGACGTTTCGCAATAGTTTTAGTGGTAGCTCTGACTTCGTATCATACCTCTTCTGATAATATTTGCTGCTATGATAATTTTTAGATACCTTCTTCTGCAATAGTAAATGCTTCGCTAGCACTGGCTATCAGTGGTGAATGCTGCCATCTTTAGCTCTGTTGGGGTGAACCCCCATCAGTTAACTGAGGTAGGCGAGCTCAGTTGAATTCAATGATCGTTAGCGGCTTGATGGTAGATGGCACTGCTGTGTAACACCGCCCGATCACGATTGAGTTAATGATTGCTGGCGCAATGAACTATAGTGCAACATGCTTTGTTGTCAAGATACACGTGGCATTATTCAAACGTCATATGGTATACTAAAGTTGACGATGTTGTCCATGCTGCACCAGTATCTAGATGCAATTTTACTATAGCTTCATATATTTAGTGTATCTAATATCAAAACTTGTTTTCCAAACTAGACTGGTGCTGAGCTAATAATCATGGAGGCTTTCTAATTTATAGGCATTGGGAGCAAGATGGCCTCTGCAGGCAAGACAAAGAAGAACAGCATCTTGAATGCATGGGTGAAGACTGTACGTGGACACGTCTACTGGTGTGCACAGACCAGCAGTGACAATGGCGCGCTGGTGCTCGCAAAATGGGTGTCCGTAATGCGACACGTGAGCAACGTCCATCAGCACCCCAGCCCCCTGTACCCTGCGTGCACCCATGGCCCAATCGAAGAGCGCTGGTGGCTTCAGGAAGGTAAAAAAGATTCATTCTTTAAACATTCATAACATTCTTTTCACTCCAGTTGTCGGCGAAGCTTTCATAACAAGGACAGACTTCCTTTGGCTGCTCTGGCCAGTCTACAATCAAATAGCACAAGGAGGAATTGGAGATGAATGCAAGTGTTTCCAGATGGAAGATCAGCATACCAGATTGTGTTTCGGATAACTCGTATGCTCCCCCCCCCTTTTCCGCTCTGCATTTCACACCTGCGGAATTCAAAAGGAGGGTCAGGATATCCCAACCCCCCCCCCCCCCCCCCCCCTTCTAGACCTGCCGATGGGAGGACTCCATCTCATATCCAGCTCATAGTACTGAGCGGACATTTCAATTACATCAAGAGGCGTAAACTGCATGTTTCTAGCCTTATATTTCAAGAAAAACACTCCACTTTTGAGGTCATGAAAAGACACAGAATGAGGAAGTGAAGACCGACTTGTAACATGCAAAAGACGCATAAAAAGGGAAATTGCAGATTATATGAAAATTATTTATGCAGAATTACTGAGCAGAGATCTAGCTTCTGCAGAGATGGATAAAAAATAAAATGGCAGTTGCATCACGTATACAACACAAAAAAGTGATTTGTGGACAGGCTGCAATGGGCACTGGCTTTGCTGTTTAACCTTTTGGGTGCCACCAGGAGTATACTCGGCTGCGCTCTGGCTTACCTGCTCAGTCATTATCGATATAAACTCAGCACTTACAAGGGTCAGGGTGTCTAGAGACCGGCAAAACCGGGAATTGTCAGGGGAAATTTAATTACCAGGAAAAATCGGGGGACTGTCAGGGATATTGCCAAAGAGCGAGCCGAGTCAGGGAAAATGTGCCGGAAACGCTATCGAGTGCCCTGAGCAAAGACTTGAAAACCTGTGGGCAGAAAAATAGGTAATAAATTCTGCTTGGAGCGGAGCCCGCGGGCCCTGCTCAATTGATGTAGAGTGTAATACCCGATGCAAAGGGAACCGCCGACAAATCCAGTAAAAGCCTTGGATTGGATTGAGGGCGCGACACTAGACTAGATCCAGTTAGAGCTACTAGATTTATTATTATTAACAAATGGGAAAGCTGCAGACCCCAATACAATCCAAGCCAAAAGTATACGAAAGTGTGCATCTGGCGGCTATGCCATGCTGCCATTCGTAATTATTAACATGTCTGGTTCAGCGTCATGTTTTTATTGTGTTTCTGGAAGTGGCTTCTTCACTGACTATGTCAGGGGGCAAGAAAGTGCTCATTTAATCCGGACAGGACGAACCCAAATATTTCGGAATATGCAAGTTGGGTTCAGCCCGTGCGAAAGTACTGTTACAGTTCTGAATGCTCAATGCCTTGTGTTGTAATGATCTGATATATTTAACCACCTCTACAATGGTCAGGGACCGTTGTAGAGTTGTAATAACTTGCTAGACACCCTAAGGGTTATTTCGATACTTTCTCTTATCGCAGGGACCGAGCCATACGTGGCTCTCGAAAAGATCGTCATGTCCAAGCAACTACTCAAGGACATACCAAGGGTGTCTGGAGACGGTCAGACCTATCGCCTAGAGTCGTTCCACAGCATGCTGCTCCGGTTTACTCCGAAATCCAGTCATTTCAGTTTTGAGGGCATGGTGGCACGGTAAGCAGGCATCCTGATATATGCTAGTGATATTTGTTTATTTATGAGCCTTTTCTGAAATTTCTACTGTGCACCACTCACGCAGAAAATTCTGGGGATGCACTTATGTACACTAGCAGATGAGCGAGTGCACATACTGTTTTTAGGAGCGAGGCCCTACGTCAATTTGTACAATCTTTATCTCCCTCGTCTTTAACGAGCTTCTCATTGTTACCGTAAGTCGAAGGGAAGCCATTTTTCACACATACTTGTGTCCGCACAATGGTGGCAAATTGCAGCGCATCTTGAACTGTAAACGACTTAATTTTCGCGAAGGCCTAATTTTTGTGAATCGCCTACAATTTGCGAAAAATATGTCCCGCAAACAATTTTGGTAGAATGTAAGCACATAAGAATCTACATTGAGATCCCATTGTGTCGCAAAACTTAGAACCTGCGAATTATTACAAAGCTTGAGCTTCGACCAAAATCAAGAAATATTGAGACCGCGAAAAATAAGTCGTTTACAGTAAATGAGAAGTGTCGACTTAATTTTGATCACAATAATAGTGAGTCAATCAATGAGAATAGGATGGGTTGCTAGTGTGTGAAACGATGCAGGGCCATGTTCCCGAGGATGGTCTGCTAGCATACGACAGGTTGCCTGCCAGTGTGGATACGGTTACTAGCATGTGTTGTGCAGTATGAAAATTTCTGAAAAGTTCTAATATGAAATATGCTTGGGGCATGTTTACAGTCTTTCCTCCCCTTATATGCGGCCCTCACAGGACTGCCGTCGCGGTGCTCCACTACAATGAGAACAGCAACCGTGCGCAGGCCACAACGAAGGACGACAAAAAGCGAAGTTGTCTGAAGTTTCCCAAGTCACGGAAAGGCGAATGGGTCCTCAGCCCCATCATGGAGACTGCGTCGTACGGTAAATACAGACACTTTTATTCAGACATTGGCTGCAGCTTGACTATCACACTTTCTTACTCAGACTACGTCCAGAGGCTCCTCAATTCCTGCCTGGAGTTGGCCAAGGCTTCCCGGACCTACCAGCTGGCTGTGGCTGCGAACGGGCCGCGTCCTCGTCGACCACCTCTGTGCAGCGTTGCACAAAGGCCAGACAAGGAAGCAGCGGTGTTGGCCCACAGGACCCGGTTCGATCAAGCATAGTGGAAGCCCGTGTATGTGGTCGATGGGAATTCTTTTCTTATCCTGGCCACCACACAGCACGGGAGCCTGACGCGGCGAAACCTGCCCAGTCGTCCCCAAATCCACCAGACGAACTGGCTGTATGCCGTGTACCTGTACCGTCTGAGAAAGTAACAGAAGAATTGGTAAGAGTCTTAGAAAGACTTCATCTGCTACACTTTTACTGTGAACTTGGGGACCCTTTTGCCGCATCTCTATAGGAAAAGGCTTTTCGAAACCTGGAAAGCCCATGATATCTAGACATTTCTAGAAATTTCATGCGTGAAAACCTTTGCCGCTCCTTCTGGTGTGCTTTTATAGAGAAGAAATTCACTACTGCCTGTATGGGTGTTTCCTCGTTCTTGAGTGATTGACTGGACAGACAATTTTAAAATTCAATTAAATCTTTTAACTCGTTTATTCGCCTGTGGACTGCAAATTGCAGACTGATGATGAGAAGTCCCTCGACCTGAGGAACTCTCAGGTTGTGCGGGACCTGACCTGTAAGCCATGGTCCAAGGCAGTAATGTTTGGATGTCCCTCTCACCTCAATGTTGTTATTAGGAAGTCGCAGACAATCTCTGCTGTCACTTGACTACAGAAAGCAACCCCAGGCTACTTACTGAACTAGTTTGTTGCAAAACGGTAATGGTGAGAGAAGTTTGTAGAATAGTTCCACAGTGTCTGTTCCAAGCTGTTTCCATGCGCTTATTGGAAAAAGCACTGGTTGTAGAGGTGATCCTTCTTTCGCTGCTTACTTGTCGGTTGTCTGACATGCGTGACAGTATTTGGACAAGTATTGGCTTCGCTATCCATTCTGGGCCACCACAGAAGCATTCACATAGTTGTATTTTGGTTCACACCATTCGTCTGAGTGAAGCAGAAGGAACCAGCAGTTTTGCGTATAGCAGTAAGCCATATACAGAGGAAAGTTCTTTTCGTATCTTGTAGTGGGAGACAGTGCTGATTCCCATAGGTATTTGAGACCCCAACCCATGTTGACACACTATCACCCGAGGTAAATCGGGGTCTTGTTCTTTCTCTTTCTGTACCTCTTCTTGGTCAATTCAGCAGAGACTGCACACAGGGCAAGTGAATTTTCTTTTTTCGACGTATGACTTCGTGCAATCTGAGGAATTAAATGCAGGAAGACGAGAAAGCTCGACTGCCACAACATTCTCATTGCCCTTTTGGTGATCTTGAGGAGACGCATGGCCACCCGGCAATTGTTATCGGTTGTCGACCGTTTCCCTAAATACAGAGTAGTGTAACCAGAGCCTGGTGGTCCATCCTGAGCATGAAATGGTGACCGAAGAGGAAAACATGATGCTTCTCGCAGGCCCAGAGGCACGCCTATTCCTCTAACTCTGCAGAGCGGTTGCACTGGGCGCTGGAAAGCAATCGCGATGTGAACAGGATAGTGCGAATTCCATCTGGATGTTTTGCTGTAGCACTGTGCCTAATCCATAATCCGATGAATCTTTCTGACGATTGTAGAATTCTAACTGGAGAATTAAAAAAAAAACTGACAAGTAAATTTCTCTCCAACCTGTGACGATAGCAGGCAGTGTCACGTCGAAAACTAAATGGAACAGTTTCGAATCGTGTTTTGACTGATGCAAATGCCACCTCTTGTGCTTTTTGCCATTATAAGGGGACATCTTTCCGCAGATGCACATGCAAGGGCCTCACGATGGTTGCAAAGTTAGGTATGAATTTGAAACGGTATGTAAGCAGGTCAAGCAAAGACCGGTTATGATGTCATGTCTCTTCGAGTAGAAGCTTGCATGGTGGCTTGAACATTATCATGGCATGGCTTAATTCCCTGAGGTGCCAACTTATGTCCAAGAAATTGAAGTTGCTGCACTGAAAAATGCATTTGTTTTTGTTCGGTTTCCAACCTGCGTCCTGTAGGCGGGGTAAGCCTTGTCTTAGGCGGGCATCATGCTCTTCAGTTGTGCAACTGAAGTTGAGCACATCATCCTGGATAGATTGACAATGGTGCCTGTTGTGTCCCAAAGAATACAGTTCTTTATATTTTGAAAAGCCGGAGCAGTGGAAGCCAGCCCAAAACATACTGTGAACAGGAAGAGACTTTCATGAGTCACGAACGCAATGAGGTCCCCGCTCTCCTCTATCAGGTTCAGCTAGTGGTACGCTGACGAGAGGTCCCACTGGTTGAAGATGTGGGTGCCAGAAAGCTGGTGAAGGAGCTCGTTTGGACACAGAAGAGGACGTGAATTGAGAACAACAGAGGTGTTTGATTTGCGGAAGTGGTCTGTGATGCATTATTGCGCTCGATCACCCAGGAGTGCTCCAACTTTGCCAGCTCTACAGGAACTTTGTCATGCACTGCAAAAGTTATCCTTCATAGATTCTGTTGCACCAGACTGATGGACACTTCGTCTTCACCTTGTGAACATACCCAATGGCGTGGCCCATACCTGAGAACAGCTGGAGGAAACCTTAAACGGCCTCTGGAAGGTCGTTTGCCGAAATGATAGTCACCTGTCATCCGCAGGAGATGAAAAGTCCAGTTGAATTTCCAACCCTTGTAAAGCATTTATAGTCCCATTACGGCTGTCTTGTTCGGACGACGTGGAATGTGCAATCGCCATTACTTTGTGCCAACTGTACTGGTGAGCTGGCTTTTTCCAAAATGTTTGGAATAGCAATGTTTTCTTACGGAGTAGCCAATGAATGCAGTACTTGTAGGTTGCAACTTACAAGAATGGAAGCATCTTCTGTAGACGCTTTCCAGAAAGATTGAAACCGAGGGTCTTGTGTCTACTAGGAGTTTGATAAAAAGGAACGCAAGTATCCTGCATGTGGTACAGTTTGCTAATATCCGAGTTGCTATATTTCAGTTTGTTCTATGCTTGGTACTTGTGATCCTGTCAAAACTGTTTGCTTGCAAACAAAGGCAAAATGTCCAATCTTTCATTTTCTGCATGCTTGATTCCTTGCAGGACGTTTAGGGTAGTCTGCCATGTGGCACATTGAACCAGATCTGCAGTAAATGCTGGACGACCTTTGATTGGGTGTTTTGCCCCTAACTATTGGTTTCTTTTGGGCTTGAATCTTTGCCACTTGAAAACTGAGTCCCGCATCTTTGGTAAAAACTTTGGCCTCCTTCATCGCCCGCTGAACTTTTTAGGTGATGGCAAGAGCTGATTCGAGTGGTAGCTCAAGCTCTAGTAGTGGGCGGTTTCATACTTCGGCATGAATTGTCTTATTGACAAGTTGATTGCAGATTATTTCATCTGTTATTGTCCCAAACCAGCAGTTTGTCGCAAGGCCCCGGAGAACGTGACACACTCTTGTACTGTTTTGGCCGGTCATCCACGTGTGCAACGAAAAATAAATCTTTCCAATGTTTTACTGTCAAGAATTTTTGTAACTCTCTTGCCACTGCATCATAGGCTCTGGAAATGGGCGATGCAGGTCTGCGCGATTCGGAGGTAGCTCCTGCAGTACTTGCATTTAGATGAGTGGTAGCAGTGGACAAGGCAGAATCTTCCGGCAGTTTGCAGTAGGTCCGCTGACTCTCAGCTTCAAGTGAGCTAAATAGAATGGCAGTTCTGCCATTATCTATTGTCGACCCATTGGAAGGGATCGTGTACTGGCGTACCATTCCTCCATGAAATCGCAGGCTCGCCTGGGTATGGTAGGAAAGACGGGTGAATCAACCTTTATAATCGAGTTGAAGCTGTCGATTGTGACAATTGTTATGTATAGGGACTGTCTATGCAAGTTTAACAGAAGGCAAGCTGTTCCCATTCAGAGCTCAGTTCGTTCATTCTTATTCATTGTCTTCTTCGGCTCAACCTACACGTAGACACAACAATTTAGGTAATTCAATATTCCCCCCTCCCCCAAAACAAACACCTGGCTATGTGCCTTCTTCGATCCAAGGTACCATGAGCACAACTAACGTTTGCAATATTCGCGACTCCAGCTTAGTCTAGGGGGTGTGCTGGTCAGGCAAAATGGCGGACAAAAGGACGTCGTTTTCATCGTTCAGCACGCGGACCACCATAAATATCTTGCATTGCAGCATAACATATGTGTTACATAAGAAAGCAAAACGATTTTTCGACAGTAGAAACCTTCTAATCAATGCATGGGAATGACATGGCAGAAGCATAAAAATAATCACTGGAAACAGTGTTTGTTTCTATGCTGCCTACAAGAACCAAGCTGTGATAGCAGAAGACAGAATCAAAATGACCTCCTCTCTGGAGCTTCTCGGCGGTGCCGCTACGCAGCGTCGATAGATTTTGTTGGAGTCGCCAATACACTAAGCGGGATTTACAGACTGTCTTACAGTGTAGTGCATTTATATTTGATATGCTATAAAAGTTCTGGTCTTACTTGTTCCGATCCCGAGCTGCTGGCTCCAAATATGTTGGGCGAAAAAATTTCAGCTGGTCGTACGCTATGTTCAGCAGTCGCACATCCAGACATACGAGCAGAAAAAGTTCATTTTCTGTGACACACCTTCCCAAGTTTTTTTGTGTGATTTTTGGCATGTCCCTGCAGCATTGCCCGACCTCCTGGGGGCAATTTCCACATGTGCATCTGAAAGAGGATACATTTCAGTTGAAAAATTATCTTCTATGCTTATGTGAAAAGGGAGCTTGAGGCAGATGTGAGAGTGGCGTGCCAACGTTTCACTAGGAGACCTGCCTTGTTCAGGAGACCTAACCCTGAAGAAGGTAGGTTTCCTAATGAAGTATCAGCATGCCGTTCTGAGGTCCACCTAAGAGGTTAGGTCTTCACATTCTTCCTGCCAGCCTGGACTCCCTTGGTGCTATGTTTGTACTTTCTATAGTTCTGGTCACCCCAGAAAATGCAAGTTGCACAAATAGTTCTTATCTGCATAATGTAGTTCGTACTGGACTTGGGACTCCTGGCTTTCCTGTTGCTGGCTATCACGTCGTTCCCTTGCTGGCAATGGGGGATCAAAGTTGTACGGATCAGGTACATATATAGCTCCTTGCTGCAGGCCTCCCAAGTCTGCTCCAAGCGGCAGGCTGTCGTCGTCGGACATAGATACTGAAAATAAAGCATTTGGATCAATGAAACATTTGATTATGTATGATCAGTTACATTTATTTTTCTCTGACGGTTGCATTAGCTCTGGCAAAGTGTTGTAAACAAGAATGTTTAGTAGGAGTTATTTTAATTGAGTTGTGTAAATTACACATGTGTATTACTTTGTTGTGCTGGTTTTGTGGGAATTGTGTGTATGTGATTGTTCTTACCAAGCTACGGTATCAATAAAAAATGAAACAATAATTGCACCCTCTTTTTTGGTCCTTGACATTTGCATAGGTGGCTACATGTGATTACTTATGCTCATGCCACTAATTTGCTGTTACCCTCTAACAAAGAACAAAACAAAACAAAAAAAAAAACGTGCGTGCAAATATTAGCTACACTCTGAAAACAAACAAATGTGCACTGAAGCGTAATTATCGCAGCATTGATCATTTTCGCGGACACTTTTGCTATTGACAACAAACGTGTAGTCTGTCGTACAGCTCTATAAAGGTGCACAATTGGGCTACTAAATTTGGAAATATGTGCGGTCAAACCAGTCAAACGCACACCGCCTTGGCCGCACTACGCGCCGGGCGTTTCCGTGTGTACGAGTAAATGTCTAGCGCCTGTAGAAACAAGCGGCGAGAAAACTTCGCCATTTTCGGGAAAAGATGCGCAAATTTGGGGGTTTACGTGCCAACCCAACGAGGGGTACCTAGCACGTCCCAACGGAGGTCTGATTATTAATTTGGACCACTTCGCAATCTTTTGACGGGCAACCGATATCTCGGTTACACGGCGCCTTCTCGGTAATAAGCAAGCGTAAAATTACGAGCATCTCGGTCGGGATTCTAACCCGCCAACTGGGGATACGCAAGCTGACCTATGTTCCGGGACAACATTTTGTGGCATATCGGAAAAATTAGAGCGCGAGTACACAGCTTTCGCCAGCGCTGAAAACCCTTCCTGACGAAATGTCTGGTGATGCCAAACCTTCGACGGCACATAAACGATAACTGAAAGAAGAGTTAAGGCACGGGCGAGCTGGTGACCGAAGACACGGAAAGACGATTATGTGGCACGTCACCTCGCACAGCAAAGCTTCGTGGGATGTGTGACGGTTGTAACTAAGCTCTAATGTATCAACTTCGTGAGGACAAACGAATGCACCACACTGTTGATTTTACTACAGTTCTTTTGTTCCAGCGGGCATTGGCCGTGGCACGCTCGTACGTAGTACATATACATGTATTGTTTACTCTATTTCAGCTTCTGAAATGCCTACGAAAGATACGCTTGAGAAAACTTGCCTTTTCTGTAAAGAAGCGCTAGCTTCGTCCCCGGTGGTGAAGACGTCGTTGGATGCTGTAGAGAGCTAGGTTGGCGAAAAGTGCGGAGCAGACGACACTGGCGCTTGCTCCCCGCTCGCCCGCCCGTCCGCGATCGTGGAGAGATTCACGTGACGGCTCGAACCACGTGGTTCGTCATAACGTGCACATGCCTCTGACGACACGAGACCAATGTTGCCTGTCTCATTCAAAGTTTCGGTTTCGGTTGCTGCTAATGTTGAAAATACGATTACACAAAAAATATTTCACATTTCGCGAATCCAAAGACGTCAAGTTGTTCATCAGTGCTTTGGGAAGTGGAATCACAAGTAATCCCAATTTTTCTGGAATTGAGCGGAGTTGCCCTTTAAGTTGTTTACAGTATATGTCAAGTTAAACTTTTTTTTGTGTGTGTTTTGTGAAACATGTTACACACAATTATCCTCAATACTTTTTTTTCTATCATGTGGGTCACGTGACGTGCATCAGAACTCGGGTCATTAGGCCCATGTACCGCGTAGCACCAGGCAACTTAGTTGAGCTCAGTGAGATGTCCATGATCCTTGACTCAATGATTGTTAAAACGGCCCATGTACAGGGGTATTGGAGTTATCAATACTATTACCTTTTGCGACATGCCATGCGTCGAACCGGTGCTTCGTGTCGGGGTACCTGTCTCTCATCAGGGCATTCACCCCAAAGTGCCGGTCGGTCACAAGAACATACACAGACAGCCCCATGCTCAGGAGGAAGTCCAGAGAACGTTTCAGGCCCTCCGTCTCCATGTGGTTGCTCGACTTGACTTCTGTCGACTAGGGTAGAAAAAGGTGCCGTAAAATGCATACCTGATCCATGTGATGCATTGAGGTCATCTTATATTTAGCCACTTCTTACCTGAAGAACCTCGTAGTGCATGATCTTGTTGATGCGGGTGTCAAGCAGTGTATACGTCCCATACTTGGCAGAGTAACCAGGCGAGTCAGCACGCCCATCGCCTGCAAGGTGGAGCTTGTCTTTCGTGGCTGTCAGGAGAGACTCCTGTTCAGCTTCCCAGGTCTTTGAAACAAGAAAACTCAGTGTCAGGCTCAATCAGTGAACATGTTTAATGAACGGACAATCTTGTAGTCACTTCTGCTCACCTTTGTAGCAGCAGGAAAGACCAAAGAGCTCTGCACCCGGAAGAACTGAGTCTTCTTCAAGACTTGCACGCCTATAGATCCCAGGAGGCGAAGAACGCGCGTTGGGCTGGCTCCAGAGTAGGTGATGGCAGCAGGCAGCAGGATGTTGAGGAGTGCCTTGCTGTTGATTCTGGGCTGGTTCTCCCACACAGTCTTGTGCCCTCGTGCACACGTGATGACGGCGTGCACAAGGGTCCCTCGATGTGTCAGCTTCGTCCGTGTCGGAGCCAGGCATTTGATGCAAACCGAAAACAGCAGCAGCAGCTGTGATGCAGTCACCAGGTACTTCCTCTCCTTTACCGGGTCCACTGCTGCTGAAGACGTGCTGCACCCTCCTTCACTGTTAAAAAAAGAAAAAGAATAAACCAAAAGATTATAGTGTGGAAATTTCAAAAACAGTTCTTTTTTAACGCTTCTAATTTTTTCTATTCTGCCATCATCTCTCACAGTTCTTTGCACAAAACCGGGATATCTAACAAGCTCCTCCTTTCATATTCATTGACCTTGCCAGGTTCTCCCAGACTATCTCTATTAAATTTCCTGGCCGTTATTTCAACCTGGTCCGAATAACCAAGTGTGATCGTCGTGCTTTTTATAAGATGTACTTCTAAGGCTCCTCCACTGCACCATAAACTGTATGTATGATAAAAAACACCCATGTAACCACCATACTAAAGTTTAATTTAGGAACTGGTAGTATAATAAATTAATTAATTATTCATTTAATTAGGTAATGGCTTGCACTATCGAATGATGTTTCAGGGAACATTATTGGGTGCAGCTGTGCCGATGTGCGACTGTAAAGCTTCGTTATTACTGCCGTGCCACTTCCATTTGTCATTTCTCCTGATATAGCCAACCTTTTGACTGTTTCCCTTATATTTGTCTAACTTTTGCAGGTGAAGAAAAGCCCCAGATAATTACAAGTTTTCCAGATTGGTAGACCTAGCTTAATCCTATTCATAAAATGGAGTTCTGGTTTCTGAAAAATTACAGTGGACACATACTCGACATCTGTTGCACCGTCCGAGTGCACAGAGTCGTTGGACCAGATGCTGGTGTCGGAATCCGGTTCATCATCGGAGTTGAAAGAGTTATCCGGCCTGTAACTCTCGTCCAACAGATCTGGCTCAGGGCAGATATCTTCATCGGAGTCCAGGAAGGCGGCCTCCGTGTAACTGGTGTCCGAAGGCGATGCCCCAGGTTCTGAGGGTTCGGGAGTGGCATCCCGCTCCAACGACAAGGGGCTTGGCGTCTTGTCCTCTGTAGGCGTAGAGCACCACTGGCGCAATTCTTGCTCAACGTCTGCAGAATTCTCTTGGGCTTGTTGGGGACTTCCGGGAACAGCTGGCTCGCTCCCCAAAGGGCTTTGGCCAACCATGCCTGGAAAAGATTGAATGCCAGAGCAAACATTATGGTGTCAAAACTGCTTAACATGCACAGTAACAGTGTGCATGACATGACTTGTGATGCAGTGCAGTTTTTACAATTGATGAGCAAAAATATATATCCGTCACTCTCACCCTTCCAAGTTTATTTTGACGCAATAAAAACATTAGGTCCCCACCTTTCTGCCATGCAACTGCAAATAGCCCAGGCTCAACGAAAGATGAGGGAAATGCATGAATGGCCACAGTCAAAGGTAGTGTTATGAACTGGTTGGAACCAGTTCATGCTTGGTAGCGGCAGTAACCAAACTAATATCTAGCAGGCATGCTGGAACCGAGACCAAACCACAACAAAACACAAAATCGGCGGTTCAACACCATGGTTATGATATAACGGTGGTTCTGTGTTTTCAAATAAAGCCGATGAAATCCAAAAACCATTTGCCTGTAAAACTTTTGTCAATTCGAATTCATCCGAAAAAAATAGGATTTTGAAGGTCACACCGACCGGGGAAAAGAAAAAAGCGTGCAATAAAGATCAGGTTGGATCAGTGCGAAGGGTCGTCGGTCCTGAGAAAGACGGTGGGTGTCTGGTTTTGCAGAGAACAAGGCAATGTATTTCTAGGTCACGGCAGAAATAAGGCTGTACGTCTAACGGTGCTAGCGGTTGTTCCAGTCTCAAGTTCAGACCATAGTCACCATGGACAGCATAGTTCCATCAGTGGGTGCGGGTAAAGTGACTTGAATGGGGGTGCGTGAAGCTGAAGTTGCTATACTACTATGTTGTTCAACCTGCGCTTTCACGGCACATTTCTGTGGCACCTGCAACAGCGAGGCGACATTTGCTTTCATGCATATACAAACATATGCACTTGTATTTATTACAGCAAGCTTGTAGTAAATACAAGCACACTTGCTTGTTTTGAAATGCATAGATGAGCTCATTGTAAATATTTCACACTATTAAAATTTGTTTTGATAGAAGAATGAAGTCCAAATAACACTTTCCAAATTTGACAAAAATAAACTCGGGGAAACACGGACATAATGCATCTATGTTATGTATACTATTAAAACTCTCGTCACAATTGTATTACATAGATAGCACTATATTCTTAAGCCACCACAGCTACTCACCGGAAGATGTTGGCAGTGCCGGATTTTCAGTCGAGGTCTGACAAAGCTCCTCGAAGGCTTGCACAGCTTTGTCCACAGACAGTGTCGATGTACCTGGCACACCAAAAAACATTACATTTCAGATATAGACTCGAATAACATTGCACAAAGAGAGAGAGAGAGAGACTGATAAAGCTATTCTGTCATTACACGATAAGGTGAACCAAGTCACTACATACCTCTCGTTACCACACACATACAGATGTGGCAGATGGGCGGCTCCAAGTGCGGTTCAAAATGGCCATCGATTGCAGTAGTTGCTGGCACGGTGTCGCATAAAGCGGCGGTGCTGCTGTTGCACCCTGGCCCAGAAGTGGAAGCCTGGTCCCCGCTCTGTAAAAGCAGTGCGATAGTTACTACAACTGGTATACACCAACTCATGTTTACAAACAAACCGGAGCGCCCCTAGTGGACGCCACCGGCGCCGCGTATGCGCGATGGGGGTGTGGGCAAGAAGCTCACCGTCGCCCATAAACAAACCATTGAAATGCGATGTTGTCGTCGTCGGTGTAAGTTCCCGGGCTCTTTTTCGCGTTGGAATTGTTGATTCTACGTCCTCCTAACGATGTCCGACTACTTGAGCGGCGTCAGCGAAATTAACGAGGCTTGTTACACCGCAAAACTTCGCGTGAATAATCTGACATGCGGCGATTCATTCCGCGTGGACGCCGCAGAATAGCTAGAGCCTGATTCACATGATGAGATTTCACTCGCAATTTTCAATAGCGACGTCGCTCGGACTGCAAAAGCGTGAACCGTAGCTGAGATGGTCGACGTCAATACTGAAAATCGCAAGCAGAATCTAACCAAGTGAATCAGGCCTAACAAGTCGGTGATGGCCACTGGTAACAATGATCAACATCTCCTTGTATCTACTGTTTACATCGAGCCTGCTTACCAACCTTCAAACTTAAGTCTTTTGAGGCCTGCACTTACTTCTTATCGCAAGTGCCGGGCCCACGTTTGGTCTACGGGCCGGTGTCCTCTAAAAGGGCAGACGACAAACAGAAACGTTTGAAAGAGCAGACGACAGTTCGAACGATCAGGCGACCGTTTAAACTTGAAGACGCACTGAACGCAGTTCGCAGGTGGTCCGTACAACTTGACGGTTTTCCGGCATTCATTTTGGAACAAAACAAATAAATCTGATGGCCAGAAGTATCCGTGAATTCAACCCAAAATGCTTCCCGCCCAAGCAACTGACCTTCAAACCTTTCTCGACCCTTTTGGTACAGCCCCAGTCGCAGCATTTTGACAAGAAGGCAGGTTTTTGTCTGGTTGCTTTCAAAACAACGCAGGAATACACGTCTCAGATGGGCACTTCCGCCCACAGCCCCGGACTGGAAGTGCGTCCGACGCGCCACAACCGCGCCGTGACGTAACAGAAATGAGTTTGTGTATACACGAACTCAACTCTGCGACGTCACGGCGCGGTGGTGGCGCGTCAGGCAAACGTCCGGTCTGGGGCCGTGGGCAGAAGTCCCCATGCCAGACGTGCATTCCTGCATTATTTTGAAAGAAACTAGACACAAACATGCCTTCTCGTCAAAACGCCGTGACTGGGACTGTACCAAAAGTGTTGAGAAAGGTTTGAAGGTCAGTTTTCACGTGCTCGGTTCGCCCGAGAATCTGGATATGTGCTGTGAAAAGGGAAAAGCAGACGCCGTCGGACAACGATTGCTTGGGCGGTAGGCACTTTGGGTTGAATTTGCGGATGCTTGTGGTCATCAGATTTATTTGCTTTGTTCCAACATGAACGCCAGAAAACCGTCAAGTTGTGCGGACCATGTTCAGTGCGTCTTCAAGTTCAAACGGCTGCCTGATCGTTCGAACTGTCGTCTGCTCTTTCAAACGTTTCAAGCGTCGGTGTGAGTTCCCCTGCCCTTTTTCGCGTTCGAATTGTTGCCCTGGCAATCTCCGACCACTTGAGCGGAATCAGCGAAATTAGCGAGGCTCGTTACACCGCAAAACTTCGCGTAGTGGTGGTCCGCACAACTTGACGGTTCTCCGGCGTTATGTTGGAACAAAACAAATAAAGCTGAGGACTACAAGTATCCGTGATTTCAACCCAAAGCGCTTCCCGTTCAAGCAATCATGGTCCGACGGCGTCTGGTTTTCCCTTTTCACGACACATATCCATGTTCTCGGACAAACCGAGCACGTGAAAACTGACCTTCAAACCCCTCTCGACTTTTTTGGTACATCCTCAGTTGCGTCATTTTGACTAGAAGGCAGGCTTTGTGTGGTTCCTTTCAATGCAGGAATACACGTCTCGCATGGGGTCTTCTGCCCACAGCCCATACCGGAAGTGCGCCCGACGCGCCACCACCACGCCGAGACATAACAGAGTTGTGTTTGTGTACATATAGGCTGGTTTCACATGATATACCTTCTGCTCAAACCCACGGTAGAATTCTTAGTTTGTGGGCCTTAGCCCTTTGCTTTCCTGCGGGCGGAAACAATGTTTTCCAACTTGCGCAATTTTTTTTTTTTTTTTTTTTGCGTTGTGATTGGCTGCGCCAGTCAAAGAAGTCGGCAATGCAAAGGAGCGTCGGCTGGTACTCAATTTTCATACATATTGATATTTATTCGGCGCTTAGAGGATCTGTTACTTGAGGAATTGGCTCACTAGTGGCCAAAATGGCCCCAGTCGGTGCTGCGGGGCCACCTTGATGGACAGAAAAGCGTAGTGAACAAAGGTATGTGAGGCCTAAGAGCGTCTTCGATGGTGCTTCTTGAGCTCTGCCGTCAGTAGAGATGCTGATTAGGTTTTGTGGGATTCACCAACACCGCAAAACTTCGCTCATAAACAAGCGCCTCCACGTAACGAATAGGGCAAATGGTAGATGCAGCCCGCGGCCCCCCCCCCCCCCCCCCCCCCCTGCACTCCGAAGTGCAATCGAAGGAAGTGAAATTTTGTTTTTTGACACCACCTTATATCAAACAATGCGAGACGCTGTTGATGATTCACTTTTTGGTTGCGGGCCAAGGACCTGCACGTTCAGTATTAGTAAACATGTTTCGTTACTCATAACAATGTTATCTCCATGCTCATGCATAAGATATGGCTAATTTGTACCAATGAAAACAAAAATATGTACTTGGCTAAGGCACGCTGTTCTGGCTTGGTTCTGACCAACAGGTTCTTCTTGAGCCACTGGTGCATCCAGCGATGACTCATATGTTGGTGCTTTGGAGTCGTCATCCCATGTAGTGACCACTGGCAAGCTACTGCTCTTCGACACTGTGCTGCTGCTGCTGCTACAGTGGTCACCGCTCTGTGAAACCAATCGGTCAATATTTATTGTCTTTGATTTGTTCATAACACACCCTATAGCCTAGTTTAAGTGTAAGGGCCGCGCGAAAGTTATAAAATAATGAATGAATAAACATTATCGTAGGGATGGGTTCCAGCACCCCCAGGTGAAGCCCAAAGTCCGGGGCCTCAAAAATGGCGGCCACCAATTTGGCACGGTCCACCTGCTATTGCTGGCCAGTGGCCGCATCATCGGTCTGCCGCTCCTCCCAGGAGGTGGGGGAGGGGTTGGGAAGAGGCGAGACAGAGGGAATGTCCTGGCATTACCAGACCATGTGGAGAAGTGTGGGAAAAGAGTTGATGTCATAGAACGCCCTGTCTGCGAGTAAGAGAAGGCTGAGGAGAATAATGTTGTTCAGTTGGTCGGATGGTGGCAACCCCATATCTTCCCCATATTCCCGGTGTGAGAGTTCTCGGGCGAGTACACAAGCACACTCATTACCAGGGACAGCTGTGTGTTCAGGGACGGCTGCGTGCCCAAACACACAGCCCAGGCACCCGCACCCAGACTAACGGGAAAGTGTGGGAGGTGGAGTATAGGAAGGAGTCGAGTAGGGACACAGTGGATAGATGCAAGGTGGTGAGAAGGAAGTGCCGGCAGGCCGTCTGGGAGTCAGCCAGAATGTTAGTGGGGAGGAAGAATTGCCCTGTGCTAAAATGACGATGTGCAACAAGTGTCAACATAAATACCAATTGGATGCCTATATTAGAATATCTTGGTCGCCAAACAAACGAACAGTTTTCTAGTCTAACTTGCAATAATGATCGGATATATTGTTCAGATTACTGGTTTTGAAAACAACTTGTTTGCTCATGTACTTTCTACTGATAACAGCATAGATAATTGAAATATATTAATATTATAGTACATAACGGCGGTGTTCAGAGTTACGGTTCCCAATTTCAGGTTCGGTTCAGTCCTGGGTAAAGTTCGTACAGCCGTTTGAGCGTTTGCAAGAGCACGCCAGCCCGCGCGCGGACACGCGCACTCACTTCTACTGATATATAGCACAAAACGTTAGCGTGCGTTCACGTGCGACGTGCTCGTGAATGTCGCCTCAACAGGCTTGCAATCGCACGTGCTCGCCCGCACGAACAGAGACAAAAGCATCGGCCAGCGCGACGTGAGCGAGGAATATACGTACCCCGGTCCGACGACGCTTCACGCATGATTCGTCTGCTGTTTGGGGAGGCGAGGATCGAGGAACGAGGTACGACGACACGGCGTCCGGCGTCAGTCCGTCGGCTGTTACGGAAGGCGAGGATCCAGGATCGAGGATCGACGGCACGGCGTTTTGATCCAGACGCGCGTACTTGGTTGAAAACCCAGCGTCGCAGAACAAGCGCAGATCTCGCTGGTAGCATTCGGGCAAAAAGTGGTCAGAACAGATCAATGTCCTGCTATTTGGCGACCACGGCTTCTCGGAGTTCCAACGGCGCACGATGTCTGTCCAAACAATGAGACGCGCACTGTCGCGAGGGAACTTGTGAAAAACAACTCCCGGGCTGGTCGACTGATAGTTCAAGCAGGCAGCAACACAACATCGTGAGCCTATGGCCCTTCTGCGAGGCATCGCAGCTAGGCTTCGGGGATGCTGCCCGCGCTCGAACCGTAACAAAACCACAAAACGCCGTCCTCCTACTGCTCCTACTGCAGCAGAGGCGAAACGAGGAAACGAGTGCGTCTGCTCCCAACTTGGCGCATGCGTTTTACGGTGATCATGTGGACAGAGCCAACACGCAACGCCGGGAGGAGCCACTTCCACTCACGACGTCTTCGTTCAATTTCGCCCGGAGAAGTAAAAACAACCAAAACATAGAACTGACATACGCATGCCTCTGACGTAGGTGCTCACTGTTGGCTGCGCCAGATCCGTGGTATTGACAGCGCTGTTGATTGCTCTTCACGTCGCGCGCTAGAGTTAGCAGATTTCGGCGACTTGGCTCGTTTGAAAGTTTGCTGGCCAGATTAATAAATATTTAGACGGAATTACATCGCGAAACTTGGCATGTGGTCTTCCTATATGATGCTGAAGAGGGCTACATAGTTTTCTCAATATCAAAAATGAAGCGGAGTTGCCCTTTAAAGGGACACTGACAACCCCCAAAATTTTTTTTTAATTTTTTGCCAGGCGTTTTATTATGGTGTCGGAGGACTACCCAATTAATATTTTGCAACAGAGTAGCGTATTTTTTTAATAAAGCCAAAAGACGCAACTGCTCGAAACCGAAACCGAAACCCGACGGAGGTCGGAGAAGTGGACAGAAGAGAGTGAGTGGCGGAAGTCACGTGGCTACACCCGACCGTGCGTTTTTTTTTTTTTTTTTTTTTCTCCTTTTCGTAGCAGACGACATGCGGCGTACCGGAACTGTTCACCGAGCGATTCTTTTGCAGTTATGTATGTTCCGCTCGTTGTTCTGTACTCCAAGATGAGTTGTTTTGTACATTGAGGAGTTGGAGATAAGTAGTGGGTGCCCGTGGTGAATGTTGATCGGCTCCGAAAAGAATACACCCAAGATGTTGCGTGAAGAGCTGGCTCACATGCCCTGCGTCCGAAACAGAAGTGGCATTGTGCGACAGAGTTTCCGAAAGATCAAAGGGATCGGGACCAATGGCTGGCTGCAATTCCTGTAGACCATTACGGGCACCTCGGAAAGCGGACGCTACCTGATTTATATGCTCCTTGCATTTTGTGGAAAGTGATTACATTGAGTCCGCAGGTGTCAAAAAGGAAATCCCGTACCATTTAATTCAGCGACGTGTCGTCCACAACATATGTTTCTTATTTTTTGTTTCTTCAGTGATAATTTTTTAAAAAGAAAAAGAAATGTAGACATAAAAAAATATTAAAAAAAAAAAGAAGAAAAAAGGTTCCACGGAGGATCGCGTGTGAAGCGGACGTCTTTCCCACTGAGCTACTGGGGCATGCCAAAACTGGGGAATGGGGAATCTCTTTCCTTAGTAATAATTCAGCCGATAAACTAAGTTGGAAAGTTTGCTGCCAATTTTCCTCTAGCAAAAGCACTCCCGGGTCGAAGTCGGAATGCACCGCGCATTGGCGACATTCTCACGTAGTAAAGAAATCGTACGCGTGCATACTCAACTCGAAGTAGACACGTCGTGCTTGACGTTTGCGCGAGCGATGTCTTCAGCCACGAGAAAGGAGCGACGGCTCGGCGACGTCTTCGTGCAAATCGGCTTGGTGATCGGGCGTGTCGTACGGTATGAATACCAGTTCTTTTGATCAGTCCCAAATTTCTCTTTTAAAGGCAGACAAAATTCGCCGGTACCGCGAACGACAGTTCTGAAATAGAGGTCCCACGCCCGTCGTCCGCTGCCATCGCCGTCCCTGCGAGTCCCGCGATACGCGAAACGACGCACGCACAGATTGGTTCCGGTTGTCTGTGGAACTTTTTTTTCAATCAACGTATTTGCAGCTTTTTAGAAGCCACAAAAAATGGGTTTCATATTTTTTTCTATTTTTAATATCGAGTGTGTGCCTTCAGTGACCCACGACTTTGATTAAATTTGGTGGTCGCATCGATACCTTAGAAAACGGCCCGTGACCGCGAAAAAGAGAGTGAGCGGGACTCGAACCGGCCAGTTCTTGATCGGCGGTTTTCGGGCGGAAAGAAACCGAATTTCGAGCCGCAAATTCTGTTCTGGGTAGTTGAGCTCTCATATGTCACGTACAACTAAAAACCTCGGCGAGCATAAATACCCTGTCAGTGTCCCTTTAAATATATATCTCTACTGGATCCAAAGCTGCAACAACAGCCCTTGGAACTGATTTATATTTTCGTTCTGTAAAAATTTAAAGTGGAAATAAAAGCCTTGTTATTTTTAATAAACATTTAAGTCTTTTTGAATGAAGACTGGTCGCCAGTGGCGTCGTGAGCCAGGTACAGTCATTTCTTAGAGTATATAGCTCATCTTAATTTATAACGGATATGCTATGAAGAGAAAATTACATTTGAATTTTTTTAAACGAAAAGTACCACTCATTAAAATATCGTTTGGTAGCATGTATTCGCACACTACAAAATATATTTGAGTAAGCGAAGGACAGGAAACATGAAATAAAATAATCAGACTTGCTTTTTATTCTACAACATCTCACCATAGCATGCCTCTAGCATTGATAAGAACTCTCGCTGTACAAGTTTTCATGCAAGCAATGGACATTCTAAAACGAGGAGCTCAGTCTGGAGCCAGTGCTGAAATATATGTTTAGATCAGATGAAGTATATAAAGGAACAAAAAAAAAAAAAAAAAAAGAATGATGCCAAGAAGCACAAATGAGTTCAATAACTTTGAATAAACTCCAAGGTGATGCAAATCTCTTCTGTGTATGCAATGTTGAAAACGTAGTACGCGCTGAATAGTACAGCCAGTGCGTGGTCGAATATGTGAATTTCGTCCGTCACAGTTATTCCATCAATTGAGATCGAGTACATGCTGGCTGAGTAGATGTTTTTTCCATAGAAAAGAAAGGATAAAACAAAGGGCGTGAAGGCAGATATAAAATGTAGGAAATTGGAGAACTATAATTGTAGTTTAAAATCGTTATAAAATTATAGGCAGTATTGATTACTTGGGGTTCAGAAAGTGATCAGTGAATGCTCACCATGAACTAGAATGCATGGGGAGATGGGTGGTGCATCTTGATTCATGTCAGTTACAGACGGGTCCATATCACATGAGCGAATGACATTTTAGCGAACGGCGACATTTGAGCGAATGGACGTTTTAGCGAATAACGGGGGCGCGCGTTAACCCATCCGTCGCGCTGCGCTTTACGCCGCTTCGCGGCGACAGTCTGCGGCAGCACATTACAAAAATATGAACCCACTTGGCCCACCCGAAAACGCCGCTTCGCGGCGTCCGACTATTCGCTAAAGTGTCGTTCGATGAAACGTGGGCGTTCGCTAAAACGTCATTCGATCAAGTGAGTGCCTCCCGTTACAGACTGGCCTTACTGACAGTCACCATCACAAAATTCCTCCAAAACACCGTGTAAGTGGGACTCGCTGCGAGGCTGGGTAAATACTTGGCCCACAGATTTGTTTTCTAGGGGGTAATTTAGTGCCTCTTTAACGGGGACATGCGGAGCAAACCGGTCCTTTTGACCACAACTACGTCCTATGTACATACTCACCGTTTCCACACAAGGAAAGTGCTTTCTCAAATATGCTGATTTCATGTGTTCCGGAAGGAAGGTGGTAGATTTCAGGTTCGTAACATCATTGTATAATGATGTTATGAACTCAATGATGTTATGAACCTCGACTGAACCAAGCACGTTTTGAAGGCTTTCAGCAAGTTTGCCGGACATGTATTGTTAGTACAAGAAATGCTGACGTTGAAATTCATAAATAGTTTTTTGAATTGTTGATACCGGCATAAGAAGCTTTCCGTTGAACTCCAGGCACAAAAACAAAAAAGAAAAAACAAACAAACAAGGTCGTATTTTACGGCCGTTCTTTTTTCTTCTGCAGACAGAGACATTAACACGTCGTAGTTATCATCAGGGGATTGCATCACGTTAACCCACTGATCTCAATGACAATTGCTGGATCGCGCTTGCCGCTCCCGCAAGTGAAGCCACCGGACTTCACTCGCTTGGGATACGATTTGCCGTCTTTGCTAGCCTTTGCTGCGGTTTTCCAGCGTGCTGTAGACACGTCTTCTACTCGTTCGTCGTCATTCGCCGAAGAAGTTTTTTGATGACTCTGTGTATTGTTGAGACTTGCCGTTGTGAACACGTGGAAAATTTTACGAAAGTGCAGTGTCGCAGGAAAAAGGCACAACGCGTCGAAAGGAAGGGCTGGCGGCGTGTTCAAACCTTCCTTGGCACGCCGAAGTGCCGAGTCTCTGTGCCTTCGCGCGCTTGGATACCGACCATGAACCGACGCCGTGTGAATGTGTTTAGCGAGTGCAATGTGCGTGAAGCCGTATCAAAAGGTATAACTCGTCGAAAACGTGTCGCCGGTGTCGCGGCGTGATCAAAGCTTCCTTGGCACGCCGAGTGATGCATCTTTGTGCCTTCGCACGCTTGGATACCGGTCAAGAATTGACGCCGCGCCAAAGTTCTGAACGTGTGTCGCGCGTAGATGCCTTTAGATCATTTATATATATCGGCCACGGAGTTCTGGATCGTCCAGCTGTTCCGGTGAGTTGCTATCAATAAAAGGGGGAGATCTGTGCGTGTTCTTATGTACTATATTAACCATGGCTATGTCCCAAATCTACTCTAATAGATTCCGTGGGAGCACGAATAGGGCAACGTTGTGAAGCCAGGGGGGTTTTCGAAAGCAAAAGTACAAGACGGCGAGAATGAAAATCTTTGAAGCGCGGCCGATATGGTCGTGTGCAATCTGTTGACCAATTACAATTAGGCGAGCCGCGCTCAAACGTCAAGTGCAATTAAGTAGGTTGATAATAAGCCAGCACTGATCAGTGACGAGGAGCTGTTGTGCACGGTATTGTGTAAATCGTCTAAGGACGAAAAAGAGACGTACCTTCTCCCCATCTTCCGTCGCTAGTGGACGCTGGATTAAGCTCGTTCCTAAACCGCGAGGGGAAAAGACGCTGATCCAGAGGCACGAACAGCTTCACGCACATTGCACTCGCTAAACACATACACACGGCGTCGGTTCTTGGTCGGTATCCAAGCGTGCGAAGGCACAGAGACACGGCACTTCGGCGTGCCAAGGAAGCTTTGAACACGCCGCCAGCCCTTCCTTTCGACGCGTTGTGCCTTTTTCCTGCGACACTGCACTTTCTAAAAATTTTCCACGTGTTCACAACGGCAAGTCTCAACAATACACAGAGTCTTCAAAAAACTTCTTCGGCGAATGACGACGAACGAGTAGAAAACGTGTCTACAGCACGCTGGAAAACCGCAGCAAAGGCTAGCAAAAACGGCAAATCGTATCCCAAGCGAGTGAAGTCCGGTGGCTTCACTTGCGCTGCAGCGAACAAGCGGGAAAGCGCGATCCAGCAATTGTCATAGAGATCAGTGCGTTAACAGAACCGTCTTCATTAGAATCCGCACTAGTCGACTGCGTCG